TTTTTTTTTTTTTTTTTTTTTTTTTTTTTTTTTTTTTTTTTTTTTTTTTTTTTTGAGATCACAAACCACACACATGATCTTTGCTTTGCTTATGAGTTTGATGTTGAATAAGTAGCTAGTTTCTAAAAATTCAAACAATTAGTAGTGAGTTTTGTGGTATAAATACTGATTAGGTTTAGGTTAAATATCAATTTTTGAATTATGTCTAATTGGTGCTTTAAAATATGTCTTATTTCTAGCTTTCAATTTTTCGTTTAATAGATTTTAGAATGTATTTTAGATCTGCTTAACATTTTCTAAAATTCAGTAGATAAAATAAAAGGTTATGTTTTATTTAATATAAGAGTGAAATGTTAGGGTTTTATTATATACAAAAATTATGGTAAACGTCTAACTAAATATTATCATTTAAGTTTAAAAACTTCTTGCATATGTTTTTAAAGTATAGGAATGTCGTGTGTACATATACTTTAAAAAGTTTTTAATAATGTTTTGAACTTTTAATGTTGCATTTAATATAGATTTATTATCAACTTTCTCAAATTAATGTTTGTTACTTTGATTTGATTTGAAACATTATATGATGTATTAATTCTAGATAGAATTAGGCTCAGACCTAAAGTTGAATAGTTTTACTAAAAAAATTAATTTGACACAAACTTAAAAGTTTAGGCATTTGTTATGAACATCTTTTAATGAGTATTTTTTTTTCTAATGGTTAAGGACATGGCTTGAAATATATCTAGTTCTTAAAATGAAGAACGGATGAATAGATTATCGACCATATTTTATCAATTAATCATCGAAAGATTGGTGTACGTGTACTTTGTTTAATGATAATGAAGGGGCGTTTTTGTGTTCGAACTTTAAAGTTAGATATTACCAATACATATCCTAATGAGCGCTATTCTTTTGAATAGTTAAGAAAAAAATGAATAGTTAAAAGGAAAATCTGACTGGTAATTCTTTTGAAAGCATAATCTGGGGCAGCAATGGAAATGAACGATTTTAAAGTTCCATCTTAAAAATTCAACGTGTTATGTCAATGTCCAATCTTATACCTTTATACCCCCTTGTAGTCTTGAATGATGTTCACGTCGAGTATATAAACTAAAGCAGGAGAGTGTATCGTAATTGACTCATAAAAGTATTTTTAAGTACGGTATAATTTTTAGTCCAACTATATTAAAAGCATGTGAAAAGTAAAAAAAAAAATGTTCTTCATAATGTCATAAATCCATAAATGATCTATTAACGATAGATTTTTATCATGTTCTGTCATGATACCGTAAATACTTTCAACAATTTTATTACCTTAATTTTAGACAATTAGTGGTCCAAATGAAATTATTAAAATAATTTTAACAAATTTAGTTATTATTCATTACTAAATATATTAGGTGCAATCTATCTCAAGACAAAATTATTTTTTTTAACTAATGATACGTGATATTTTTTTTAAAGATTATTAAGATAAATTGACAACTGAGTAAACCATACAAATACAAGATAATTATATTATGTCGATATTTTTATCATAATTATATTATGTCGATATTTTTATCATAGATTCATGCACGTAGTAAACCATACAAATACAAGATATAGTGACATGTTAATTCCAAATGAAATTTTATAACTAGACAAAACATATATAATGGTCTTCCATAGCCAACCAAGGACGTGCTAACTCAAAATACAAATACTACATCATCTAATAGTTGCACAACAAAATATAGAAAAACTCTAGATATATTAAAGAGTCGACACTTTGAGATCCTACATTGGTTGAGAAGAAGAACGAATATTTGCCATGGTGGACTTAAGTTGTTACAAATAGTATCAGAGCTAGACACTGAGCAATGTGCCAGCAAAGAGGTTGAGCCTCAAACGGGGGGTGGACACGAGGTGGTGTGCCAACAAGGACGTTGGGCCTCGAAGGAGGGTGGATTGGGAGGTCCCACAACAAATGGTATCAGAGTCAGACACGGGACGATGTACCAGTGAAGAGACTGAGCCCCAAAGGGGGGTGGACATAAGGTGGTGTGCCAACAAGGACACTGGGCTTCGAGGGAGGGTGGATTGGGAAGTCCCACAACAAATGGTATCAGAGTCAGACACGGGACGATGTGCCAGTGAAGGGGGTGGACACGAGGGGTTGGACTTGGGCTGTTACAGACACTATTGATGCCCAAAGTTTATCGCAGACAAATATTTGCTAGCAGTGGACATGGACTATTAATAACATCATCCATATCTATGATTCTCTGATCTCTCTCATAAAACATCTCAATTGCTAAATTATCACTTCAGCTTGTAAACTCATTTGAAATTTCAACCGGTGTTATTTAATCACAGTTTACAACTTCATATTTTCATAAGATGATGAATGAGAGAGTAAGTTGTGGTCACGTGCTCGTTCTATTACATTTTTTTTTTGGTTGAGAAATGCGGTTGGTATCCTTGCATCTAGTCATTTAAAATGACATCGATATCCTTTGTAAGGTGCCAAAAATCCTTTAGTATTTGTACACGTTACTATTGCACACATGAGTCCGTCAAACCGACTATTACAAAAAATTCCATTTAGAATTCAAATGAATGAAAAATAAAAAAAATATAATAACAATATCATATTATATTTATTATACTGTGTAAAAAAAAAAAAACAATATTAATAAATTACCAGTAATGTAAACAATAGGCATATTATTAAAATTAGAAGTAAAAAAAAAATGAATATTTGTTAATTTAAATATATGTTTTTTTTTAATGATTTTTTTGCACATGAGAAAGGGTATGTTGACAAATACTGAAAAAATTGAAATTATTTAATAAATAAGATTTCCGCCAAAACCCCCTAAAACCCTCACTTCACAGTCTGTGCCGCCGGAGATCGATCCATCGGCGTTCAATCAACATGTCGGGTTTCTCGTTTGGTTCTTCCTCCTCCCAAGCTTCTTCTTCTTCTTCTCCGTTTTCGTCAACCACTGGTTTCTCCTTCGGATCCACCTCCGCCTTCTCGTTCGGATCATCCCCTTTATCTCTTTCATCTTCCTCCTCCTCAAACCCTAGTTCCTCTTCCTCTGCATTTTCCAATCAAACCTCCAATCCTCCCTCTTCCACTCCCTTTGGCTTTGCCTCTTCTTCTTTTCCCTCTTCCGCTTCCTCTCCTTTCTCTTTCTCCCTTCCCGCCGCTTCCACTGGGGCCTCTTCTGGAAGTTCAGGTTCTTCATTGTTTGCGGCTTCTTCATCCTCAGGAGGGTTGAGTTCTTTCGGGTTTGGGGTTTCATCTTCATCAGGAGGCTCGTCTGCTCCTTCATTTGGGGCTGCTCCGACCTCTGGGAGCTCACCTGTGCCCTCATTTGGGGCTGCTTCGGCCTCTGGGACCTCATTTGCGCCCTTGTTTGGGTCTGCTCCGTCATCTGGGAGCTCACCTGTGCCCTCATTTGGGGCTGCTCCGGGCTCTGGGAGTTCAGTTGCGCCCTTGTTTGGGTCTGCTCCGTCCTCTGGAAGCTCCCCTTTGCCCTCGTTTGGGGCTGCTCCGTCCGCTGGGAGCTCATCTTCGCCCTTTTTTGGGGCTGCTCCATCTGCAGGGACCTCGGCTCCGTCCTTGTTCGGAGGGGTGTCTTCTGCTGCAACTACTTCCAGTGCACCATTGTTTGGCACTTCTGCACCCACTGCAAGTCCGGGGTCATCGATATTTGGAGCTTCTACCGCCGCTTCAGGTTCAAGCTCCTCCCTGTTTGGGTCTAATCCCTTTGCTTCATCTTCTTCGGTATCCACTTCGAACTTGTTTGGGTCATCTTCATCATCTGCATCGACTACTCCATTCCAGAACTCTTTTTCTTCGAGTTCTTCCCAGAATTTGAGTTCGTCTTCTCCATTTGCGGCTTCTTCTTCTGGGTTCTCATTTTCGACCACTTCTTTGTCCAAAACTACTAGTATTACCGCAGCATCTTCTTCTTCTTCTCTTACATCAGCTTCTACTAGTTCCTCGAGCTTCTCATTCGGAACACCTGCTTCATCGGCATCTCAATCTTCTTTCGGGTTCAGTATTAGCAATGCAGCATCGACGGGAGGGTCTTCTGCTCCGGGCACTACAGCTGCGAAGCCTACTTCTCTATCGTTTTCAACTTCTGTGGCACCTTTATTCTCTACGGTTACTACCACCAGTGCTTCCACTCCGGCTGCAACTAGCACAGCTCAGCCATCCTTCTCCATGCCAGCTTTTAGCTTGAGTTCTTCAGCTGCTACTACCTTATCCATAGCAGCATCCTCCGTTCCCTCAACTACTTCTTCAGGTGCTGCGAGTTCATTCACCGGTTTTGGCGTCACAAGCACGGCTGCTTCATCAAGTGCCATTGTTTCCTTGTCGTTGCCAACCAAATCATTGACTGCTGCTTCATCATCCCAAGCACCAGCCTCTTTCGGTAAGTTTTTCACTTTCTTCTTTTTACTTCGTGATACTTAACTTATTTTATTGGCTGTTCGGAATAGGTTTCTTGAGTCATCTTGGGCACCATTCAACAATCAATTATGAAAAAGTTTCCTCCACATTTAAGTTGATTGCCTTTTCCCTTACGATTATCTTGTCACGGAATGTAAGGCGTTTAGAATTTCGGGAAACAAGAGCTCTTATTAAGAATTTTGGGAAAAAAGAGCTCTTATTAAGAATTTCATCTTAAGACATAGTCCCTCTATTGTCATCCTCCAATAATCGTGCGTCTCTAAGATCCTTTAATAATCTTGAGTCTTTGTTATCGACAGGCTTTTGATAAAATCTATCTGGAGTTCTAATCACATTGATTGGACTGCCCTTGATGCTTGAGGTCCTGAGGAGGTATTATTATCCTTCGGAACGATCGTCATTTTTGGGCTATAGTCAATTGGTGCTTTAGAAGGTTCTTGGGTCTCTAGAACAGACCTCTCTGCAGAAAAGAATTGTCATATAGGATTAGCTTCTTTTCCTTGCATCAAAAAGGGAAATGTTAGAGAGGCAAAGATTTCAAGGATGGCTGTTAGAGGTGGATGAAAACTTCATTTTTTCCACAGGGTCATGGCAACAAGGAAAGAAAAAGAAAGAGTTCTATTGTTGAAATCTTGTCCAGAGATGGAGCTAGCCTTTTGGAAAAAAAAAAAAAAAAAAAAAAAAAAAAAAAAAAAAAAAAAAAAAAAAAAAAA